GGAATTAGGCCATGCAAGGTGAAATTAAGAGTGAATTCCTTCTTTTCTTCTATATATCAACTTGTATGTCTTAATTCTAGCTAATATGAGTAAAACCTTAATTTGATCATCAATTCTCATTATTTAACCTTGAATCTTAGATGATGATGCATGCACAAGTCTCTATATCATGAATTTAAAAAGAAAAGCTTACCTTGCTTTGATAATTAGGGAGAATTCAAGACAATTCTTTACATTCTTCCTAAGTTCTTCACATCTCCTTCATTTCTTCTCTTCTTAGTCTATGTTGAACTCTCCAAAAACTCTCCCCCCCCTCTCTCTCTCTCTTTATGTGTATACACCCAAGCTCACCAAGGTCCACTACTCTACTCTCTTAACTATCTTCTACTAAATTAATCAAGAATTGTCCCTTATATGAGTTAGGTTTTAAGTTTCTATTAATATTCTAATTAAATTAACCAAGGCTAATAAATCAATTCTAATTAAATTAAATTAATCCATATCACAACATTATATCAATTACACTAAATTAAATTATACTAATGTAGATTAGGCTCTAATTCCTATCTAATTTTCGTAATTCTAATTTGTTAAAATTAATGAATCGGACAGGTTTAATATTCACTTTAACCTATCTGTCTACAATAACACACTTCAAATAATCACATGGTATAACATTTACACTTCAGAACATATAATTACATACATAAGTAGTAGTAAGCACATAATCAATTTCATTAATTTGTATTAATTTGCTTAATTAAGAAGGTGGTTATCACTCCATCATACAGAGTGAACATCAGTGCTTTAAACTTTTTAGGCAAAGCAGTCCTTGCGATGCGTCGTATGAAAGGATCGTGTTTATCTTCTTTATCTAAGTCATCATCTCCTTCCCCTCACCTGTGCCGCACATATAGACTTCCCTCAGATGAGCTAAACACGTCAACTCGCCTCTTTTTCCTGGGTTCCTGAGATGATGAGTCGAAGGTGCTGGTACTGTCGTATTTCTGATGTCGACGCCGTAGAGTTTCCTTCCACTTCCCCTGGCAACCGACCTCGGTCATGGTGTGGTACGGTTTGTTGGGGCTTTGCTAACTCCACAACCAGTTCCTTGCGTAGACACTCGTTATCTGTCGCTATGTCTTCCAGACGTTGCTCATTTCACTTTGCATGGTCTGTTATCATCTGTATGGTTTCCTGTGTCGAGGTCGAAGGCAAGGATGAAGCTAGCGAATCAAAGTTCAAAGCTCTTCATGCGGTGATATTTTTTAGACCAAACATGGTTCTTGGTGTAACATCATCCACCACAAGCAAAGGATCATCTGTTGTTGTGTTTGCCATGGACGAGCTTGAATATTCCCACAGACTGCGCCAATTGTGGTGAAGGGGTTTGGAAATACTCTCTGATCCAAACAGACTTCCTTGATCCTTGAATTGATACCCGAAATGGGAACAAACACTCTGGTCAGGGATACTGGAATCAACACTCCGACGAGCAAATTAGTATTCTCTTAAGTTTTCTTTTATCACAAGTTATCACTTTTTTTTCACATATCTCCACTTTGGCGGATGCTCCTCTTTTTTATATTGTTTTCCATGGGTCCACTCTCTTATTATGGACACTCCGTCCTCATAGCTGGGCCTCCAAGCGTTCCATTGGACTTGTGGCCAATTTTGTCCGTAAGCTAGGTGCTACTCGACCACGGCTCTGTTCAAGTGGACCCAGTCACCAGCCGAATCATATTCACCCATCTCAGCAATCCTGTTTTGAGGGTAAAGCCTAATTTAAACCGACTTATATACGGCTCATTTTGAACTCGGCCCCCCACAGTAATGTACCTCCACCTCCTGATTCTATGCTACCATGGTTTCCATACTACTACAAAAAGCCTTTTCACCAGTCCAATCAGTCATCATCATTTACATCTCTTTGATGATCGACAGTCATGATCCATTTCCTTGGTTTTCTTCTCTTTTTTGCATCTTTCTTTTTTAGTAAGAATATATATATATAATTTTTTTAATGTCAACAAGATATTATGTTGTATGAGAATTAATGTTACAAATATAAAAATAAATTTCTTGTACATAAAATTTATTGAGAATGATCTTCTTCTGTTCCTTTTTTTTAAGCCAAAACACTTATTGTTGTGGCCAGAATTATAAAAATGTTATTGTCTTATCATTTTGTATAGATTTTTTAACCAAAATTTATTTTGTGAATTCTATTTTAACTAGAAATGAACCTGGTATTATGGTTAGACAATACAGCGGAAGGAGGCATTATTGTTTTTAGAAAAATGCTTGAGAGTATTTATTACAACATATAAGAGTTTTAGAGACCAAATATTTTGGTCTCTAAAAGTGAAAATTTTGTTGCAAAAGATATTTAGGGACCAATTTCTATGGTTATGAGGATCGTTGCTAAAAGGTCGTCCCGAAAAGTCAAAAATAAGGTTTTTAGCGACAAAATTTTAAAAATGTCACTAATAAATAGACTTTTGAGGACAAAATAATTTGGTCACAAAATGGTTTATTTTTTGAGAAAAAAATTGGTCCTAAAAAGATAATAATTCATCACCAATGTCTAATTTTCGTTGCTAAAAATATAATATCAACACTTTTTGTAACAAAAATATTTGGTCTCTAAAAAAATAATTTTATCCCTAAATTTTGGTTTCTAAAACCTTAATTTTTTGTAGTAATTAAAAAAATTTAATTCACTTACAATGGTATGACATGACATGCTATAAGATAATTTTAATTTTTGATAAATGAATTTAAAATTTAAAATTATGAGTATCTAGACTTTTGTGATGTTTTTATTGCAAAGAGAGGTGAAAACTTAGTGATGAAGTTAGAGACATAAGTTTGTTGAAAATGATGATGGCACCAACAGTTCTTTGTTTATTAATGTAGATAGCATTTTCCATTTTTGTCTTAAATTGATTAGTTTTCAAAGCATTTGGTTGTCACATAAACCGTGTGGATGATTATAGCCTATTTTAAGAGTTAGGTCTCGTTTGGCAATAGGTCGGTTTAGTTAAAAAGTCAAAAAATTATTTAAAAAGTTAAAAAGCTAACAATACATACCAAAAAGTTAAAGATTCTCTTTTCTCTCTACTTTTTACACATCTTTTCGTAAAAAGCTAAAAAATTATCCCAAGCATACTAGTTTTTTTTTAACTCATATTTTAGCCAAATAGTTAAAAAGTTACTAAATTAACCTGCTCCCAAACGAGACCTTAGTATTTTAAAATCAAATGATGAAATCATTTGTTTGGATGATTATTTGAATCATTATGGCATGTGAAGCGGAGTCATGATAAGAATTATTACAAAGCAATTGTACCCAAAATAAAAATAAAAAATAAAAAAAAAATCCAAATAAAATATAAGTTTTCCGTTGTTTAAAATTTGCTATAACTCAAAAATTTTTAAAAATAATATATAAATTTGAGATCTTATTTTTTATATCAACATTACAGAAAGAGGTCTATGTTGAAGAGACCAAGCCCAATTCTTCTCCATATAGCTTTAGCATGATAATAATACCAAGTCACCAATTTTTTTTATACTATTTATGTCGCTTGCAATTGATATAAAACATGAAAACTGAGGCCCTTGAAACCAAAATAATAAGGTAAGTCTAATGGATTGAGCGCTCAATTACTCCGAGTCAACAATGCATGACGAAAAAATTATACTGAAGCAAAATCGAAAGTGTAAATATTAAATTATTCAAATTAATATTACAAAGAACAAAGTGAAATTTTGCTCAAATTAAAGGATTCATTAATCTAATTTATTCTAAATCCTTTTTATATTCGTAATTAATCTCATAATAAATGAAAAAAAAAATCATTTAAAATTAATTTCTTTTTTTTAAAAAAAAAAAAAAGATTTGTGGTGGGCTAAAGCCTATGCTAAGGTAAAATGGGTGTTTCTCATTGATGTGATGGTTTTGCAAATAGTTCCATTAACTCGATAGTGCAATGTGTGGTCGTAGGTTTTTTAGCCAACCGTAGTGTTTCATCTTTTGGTTTTGCAGATATAAAGGGCTTGTTTGGTTTGTATTTGAGAAACATGTTTTGAGATAAAAAGTATAAAAATTTGTTTGATTTGGTTTTTTTCAAAAGATGTTTTGAAAAATTATTTTGAGAGAGAGTTTTGGAAAAAGTGATTGATTTGATGTATATGAGAGAGAGATTTGTTTGAAAAATTTGTAAACCAAACAAGTTTTGAAAAAATTTTTTGGAAAAATTTATTTGGTTTGATTAACTTTAAAAACTTATTTGTAGAAAATTTTTCTAAAATTTTTTTCGAAATACAAACCAAACAAGGCCAAAATTTTGGTGCAAAGGTTGGCATGATTTTGAACACACAAAAGACCAACACAGACTCCCTGGTTTAGAATGGATTCTACTGTAGGCAGAATGAATAAGATAGAGATCTTTAAAAGTTTCTTTAATTTTACTCATGATTTGACAAGTTACATAATGACTTTTGATTTATTTATCACAAATTTAACTATGTATAACTTAATTCTTTTGTCACATCATTGTAAGCAAATTGTGAGTCTCTAACAATGTTTGGGATATGAGTTGATTTTTTTAATTTTTTTAATTATTTTAGTCCGAAACTAAAACAACTTCGTTTGAAATGAGCTTTTTAACTTTATTTTATTTTTGTGAGAAAAAAAAAATACAATGATTATAGTTTGAATGTGACAACTTCTACCTTGAGGCTAAAAAACGTATTTTATTTTTTTTATAACTAAAATAATCTCAACTTCACCCAAACCCACATGCCACACGACCACATAATAAACTCCATGTATTCATGCAATGAAAAACCGTACTTATTTTGCCAAAGTTATCAAAAGAACCAACTATTTTTTATAGTACACACTAAAGATTTTTCTGCAATGCACAAACATCAATGATTAGCAGTTTACATTTCAAACGCAAGTAATTTGGTGCAATTGAAATTTTTACAAATTTTGCATAGAATGGGTGAGCAAGAATTTTCTGTAGCAAGGGTAGCAAAAAAGAACTGCAATTTGCAAAAACTCCTTGAAACACAAGCCACCATTATTCTCTATTGACTATGTAACTTGCAGTGGTAAGTAACACACTGTTTACACTAGAATATAACTAAAATAATGGACATACAAGTGATTTTGGTTGATTGCAATAATTTGTCACGAGAAATAACTTCACAACCATGCTATTGGTAAAGCAGACCGCGACCGTGAATATTCACCACATAATTAAAATCAGCCACATATCTCATTTGAGTGGTATGCCAATACACATCTTGTTATGTTCCCCATAGATGTGTATGTTTCCAAATCTTGTATGAAGAAGAGAATGGATGTGTTTAGGAGGCAACACCAACTGCTAAATGAACTCTTCCCTCCACTTCCACTTCCACTTTATGCTTTCCCTCAGGCCTTTTGCCTTTTGGCACCTTGCTACACCCTGATACTCTATGTTTCTGCAAATTCATATCAGTTTCCTTTGTGTGCTCTTTAATGCCAGTTACCTCACTATTGATTTCGTCTCGTGTAAGATGGACCTTGTCGGTTAATGGACTCTGAGAGGAAGCACAGGTTTCAGAGGGCACTGATGTCAGACTGTTGTTGGTTGCTGCTGAAGCGTGAGGTGGATCACATGTTTTTACAGTTTTTTCAGTGTTGAAAGGATCTTGGTCATTTATCACCTTTGCATAAGATGGAGATCTTGCAGAAGATCCACCCACTGGAGTTGACTTACTTCGTAGTTTACTGGATTTGGTGTTACTTGACACAACCTGCAATAGAAATAGATAAAGCTGTAGACATCAGATTTGCATTCGTTTACTTGATACTCTCATCTTTGAAAACATAAGAAAACATTTTTATTTTTATTTTTTTGGCTCCATTATTAAAAAAAAATAAAATAGAGAGCAACCAGCTCAAAACTATGTAAGGCACTAAATAATGCCCCTAACAAAGACACTTCCATTTAGACCAACAAAGGTATAAAATGTCTTCCCGTTGAAATCAACTACTAGAAACAGTATTCAGAATCAGAAGCTATAGCCACAATGTCACAAGAGCACAGACAGATTATTTAACTCCAAAATAAAGATTTTGAGCTCGCTGTGTGAGGGGTCCTGTCATCCATAATAAATATGAGATATCAGGTGGTTCTAAAAAAATTAATAAATAAATTGAATATTGGTCAATAAGAGAACAACATTTGATCTGATCATAGAACACAGACGATTTCAATTCAATTCATGACAACAAAAAGCAAACAACCTTGTCAACTTTCTAAAATGGCGTACTATCTTTCTGTCCCCATTAGCCTTCTTAATGGTTCTGCGTATTTTTGCTGCAAACTTTCACCCTTTTAGATGTAAAAATGTTTCTTTGCAGAACTTCCTAGTTAAAGTTTTATTTGGAAAGTGAAAGAAAAATATCAATCCATGAATGTAAACTAAGAAGGTTATGATCCCACAATTGACTTAGTAGAAAATGAAAAATAAAAAATAAAAAATCTTATTGCAGTTGTAATAAAACTAAAACCAAATATCAAACAATTGCAATATGATTCCATAATAACTTGATGCTGTAAGCATCAAGCGTTTGCTGTATTTTAGAGTAAGCAAACTATTAGTAAGAAGAAAGATTGATGAAACAGAAACCTTAAAAACCTGATAATACACTACTTTTAGTTTGATATGTCTGGGGATACATTAGTCCATATAACCTCTGAAAATCTGTAATTATAGTTGAAAAATTTTAAAACCCGGAAATATTGACCAGTAAATAGCAATACCAATCAAACAATCAAAGACAAATCGACACGACGATTTTACGTGGAAAAATCACAATTGAAACGCCTCCAATTGTGATAAAAAAACCACAAGCAAAAGCTACAAAACAATCCACTAAGAAAACACAAAGGAACTACACAAGTGTACTCTCAATTACCTAGCAAATCCACACCCGAATCGAACCGACCCCTATGTGCCTCTTCCAGTCCCGTCTTCACCTCGGAATTGTCTTGCTCAAAGTTGAATCCACGACGCCGATGTCGAATCCACGACGATGAGCCACTTAGGAATCCACCAAAACTTCAAGCCCAAATTCCCCAGAATCCATCGAAGAACAACTTTCAATTTTGTGAATAAAGCAAACTAAACAAACCCTTTGATATAATCCACTCAATTCATGATGAAACTCTCACAGATATCAAAGAAAAAAAACAAAGAAGCTCAAGATGAAAACCCTAATACCCAAGAAAAAGAACTAGAAACCATAACCCTAAAATCTGATAGAACCACATATTTATAAAAAACACGGCTGCGATGGTCGCTCAAGTGAAGGAATGCTCGCTCGAGCGAGGAGACTAAAACGCGTGTTTTTCCAAGTGTCTCGCTCGAGCCACCAAAGTGTCACTCGAGCGAGAAATGCATCTTCTTAGTATTTTTACAGTTAGTGAAAACTTCTAGGATCAAAGATTCTTCGCTTGAGCACACATTCCTTCGCTCGAGTGAACAAACAACTTTGATTGCATTTTTGCATTAAGCTTGATCCCCGACATAGTCAGCGAAGTGGCAAACATGATAGGATTAAAATCACAAACTCCTCTGCATAGGCACAATTCGGGTTGGATTCGTATCTAAATACTCATAGCCTCACTTAAATAAAAGATCGAATAAAATTACACTAAAAGAAATTTTATCAAACGGGATTGCCAATAATAAAAACTTAACAGTGAAGGGTATGTTAAGGGATTTGGGAGGAAGGAGGAACGAGAAAGGGAGAAAGAAGATTGCATATGAATCCACTTGTCTCATATCGACAATTGAATGGATTAAAGTGAAGCACAATTTAATCCAAGAAGCATATGAATATAAACTTCTGTATGTACTGACTGATAAGCCTAATTTCAAAAATTCAGGTCCTTTGTGCATAGCTCTATTTTCTTCAAGTGAAAAACTTTTCTAGAGAAAGAAAGAAAGAAAAAAGTATAGCATACAAAACTGCTACCAAGTCTATCTGGGATACATTATAAACTCTACAGTTGTTTTGTGTTAGAATCATCATAAAATTAAATGAACATCTATGAAGCATTGACGCTTCAAAATGGGTGCCATGTCCGTGTTGGCCACGTATAGGATACCAACACTCCTGGGACACGACAGGCCAAGTTGTGTGTCAATTTTTTTAATTATTATTTTTTTTGCAGGACACTTTGGGGCATGGTTGTCAAATTGAAATTCATATTGTGAATTGAAATGGCTTGGTACCGAATTGCGAATCAAATCGAATCATGAATCGTAAAGATTCGGCCACTTTTTCTAAATTACTTAAAAACATATATCTACACATTTAGATGTTAAATATATCTTATGAATATGAAATATTTAGACTTAAATCAATAAAAATGTTATTTTGAATGATAATCATGTAGTTTAATAGGTAAGAAGTTAATAAAGATTCCTATGTAAGAATATCATCTTACCTTTTTTTTTATTATATATATAGATATTTCTTATCAACCGTTTTTAATAAAGATAATAACTAAATACACAAAATCAATTTCTAAGTAACAATAATTAACAACGATATTGATATTTGGACAATAAGCATACATAAGTACCAGTGAGCAAATAATAAGAAAGAATTATTTAGAATCTTTTATTTTAAAACCTAAAACATTTTAAAAGGTATAACTGACCTCACACATATAATATTCAATTATATTCAATTTAATAAAATAGCAATAGATAATTCCTAGTGTAACTTTAATTTTAAATATCTTTATAGGATATATTATGATTTTTTAAAGGTAAAAAAAAAAGGAAGAAAGGTTAAAATATATAGAGTCTGATTGAATCTGATTGGATCTTATTAAAAGCTCCATGATCACTAAAATAACAAAAGAACTCATGTACATATGTTGGTTATTCTAGTATTAAACGCTATTACAAGTCGTTTTGTGTCATTTTCACTAAAAAGATAGAGAAAAGAAGAGTCGAAAATATGTTAGACACAATAATTTTAAAGATTGCATGAATCATAAAAAATAAATCGAATCGAGAATCGATTGTGAATCGTGCGATTCACTAGAGATTCACTTCCAAAATAGATTCACCCATAGATTCGTATCGATTTTACAAAATTGGTGAATCAAATCAGGAATCGAATCGCGAATCGTAAGATTCTAATAATAGAGCTTTGGGGACAAGGATGTCCTGTGTTTGGACATGCCTCAGAAATTTATTTTTATAATATAAGAAAGATAATTTGGGATCAAAGTAAAATATATGAAAATCGAGAGAAAAGTGAAAATAAAAAAAATAAAAAAATACAACCACACAACATTAATACCTCTTATATCTCTATGCTCTAAATTTATATTCATATATATATAGCAAAAATAAAAAATAAAAATTCCATACTCGATGTCTCGTGTTTGTATCTGTGTCTATATTCATGCTTCTTAGATGAAAGTCATTAGGAAAAAATTAGAAATTTTTTTTAAAGATTAAATTAGCATGGAAATAAATGGAACTGTATTTATGAACTTTTCAGTCTCTAAGGATATGAGAAGAGAGCATGCAAAAAGTCAGTGTTGCAGAATTATTACATACCTTGTTATTATCTGAGTCACGTTGTACAGGTTCATGATAAAAAGAAGGCATGGGTGTTGCTTTGAATTTAAGGCTTTTCCGAAATTGTTTAATCTCAGCTTCCGTTTTTTCCTGCAGATACAGTAATTTCCCATCAAAGCAACTTCAAATTATTCTTAATGCAAACAAGTAGTCAATATATATCATTTGATTCAATGTGACTTAAGTTATTTTTCCAACAACTTATCATAGTTTGGTTGCATTCCTAGTATTTGCGAGACTATTTGACAAACAGAAATTAAAGAAACGTTCCCAATTCTGAGGCATCATAGCAACTTGACATTGATACAAAATCAGTTTATTCACAGAATTTTGTTTAGTCACAAATAACAAAATATTTATGTACCAGTTTTTTTGCTTGGATTTGATTCAACTCAGCTTCCTTAGCTTGCATTTTTTCCTCCATCTTCATGTAAAACTAAAATAAATGAAAAGCATACAAATAAGCCACATAAACCTGATTCTATTTTTATTCTGTTCAAATACCCCGAAGAATAAATAAAATTAGCATTCTATCCTTGCCTCTTTCCTCCTTTCTGCTCGTTCATCACATTTGAAATGTAGCCCTGGTGAGCTCTGTTTTGTGCCTGGTTTAGTTGAATTCTCAGCTTGCTTGGGCCTGCAAAAATAAAAATAGCTGACCATCAGACCTCTAAAAGTCAAAACGCCTGTGTAATGAAGCATTACATACAACGTAGCTCATAAACCTGTTTTCTGTTTGCCGTGCTTTAGGGATAACCTTCTTTGAGGCAAAAGGCTTAGGTTCAATATGGACATGCCTCAGAAATTTATTTTTATAATATAAGAAAGATAATTTGGGATCAAAGTAAAATATATGAAAATCGAGAGAAAAGTGAAAAGAAAAAAAATAAAAAAATACAACCACACAACATTAATACCTCTTATATCTCTATGCTCTAAATTTATATTCATATATATATATAGCAAAAATAAAAAATAAAAATTCCATACTCGATGTCTCGTGTTTGTATCTCTATTTGTATCCATGCTTTTTAGATGAAAGTCGTTAGGAAAAAATTAGAAATTTTTTTTAAAGATTAAATTAGCATGGAAATAAATGGAACTGTATTTATGAACTTTTCAGTCTCTCCGGATATGAGAAGAGAGCATGCAAAAAGTCAGTGTTGCAGAATTATTACATACCTGATATGAGAAGAGAGCATGCAAAAAGTCAGTGTTGCAGAATTATTACATACCTTGTTATTATCTGAGTCACGTTGTACAGGTTCATGATAAAAAGAAGGCATGGGTGTTGCTTTGAATTTAAGGCTTTTCCGAAATTGTTTAATCTCAGCTTCCGTTTTTTCCTGCAGATACAGTAATTTCCCATCAAAGCAACTTCAAATTATTCTTAATGCAAACAAGTAGTCAATATATATCATTTGATTCAATGTGACTTAAGTTATTTTTCCAACAACTTATCATAGTTTGGTTGCATTCCTAGTATATTTGCTAGACTATTTGACAAACAGAAATTAAAGAAACGTTCCCAATTCTGAGGCATCATAGCAACTTGACATTGATACAAAATCAGTTTATTCACTGAATTTTGTTTAGTCACAAATAACAAAATATTTATGTACCAGTTTTTTTGCTTGGATTTGATTCAACTCAGCTTCCTTAACTTGCATTTTTTCCTCCATCTTCATGTAAAACTAAAATAAATGAAAAGCATACAAATAAGCCACATAAACCTGATTCTATTTTTATTCTGTTCAAATACCCCGAAGAATAAATAAAATTAGCATTCTATCCTTGCCTCTTTCCTCCTTTCTGCTCGTTCATCACATTTGAAATGTAGCCCTGGTGAGCTCTGTTTTGTGCCTGGTTTAGTTGAATTCTCAGCTTGCTTGGGCCTGCAAAAATAAAAATAGCTGACCATCAGACCTCTAAAAGTCAAAACGCCTGTGTAATGAAGCATTACATACAACGTAGCTCATAAACCTGTTTTCTGTTTGCCGTGCTTTAGGGATAACCTTCTTTGAGGCAAAAGGCTTAGGTTCAATAACCCTTTTAGTGTTTAATTCCTTTTCACTGCTAAAAGAGAAGCATCTTTAAGTTCTGTACCCATGGAAGATATGAATTTAATTTATGCCTAAATTAAAAAGGAATAAATACCTTCTGTTATCCTGAATTACTTGTAACTTATAATTTTTAGAATCCTGTGAGCAAAGAAAAATAAAAAAATAAAAAATGCATAACTAACGTATTAAAATGATTAACTAGTGCTCGTATTAACATCCTTGTTATCCAACCACTAGTATAGTATTTTCAATGGCATGCTACAAGCCAATACTTGCCTCTGGTTTTGAAGTTCTGTGTACTGATCGTGTCATTGGAGCAGCTGTTTGTGATGAATGTTTTTCTGCTTTTATAGTCCTTGAAACTTCTCTACCTGTTCTAATAGGTTTCTTTGCAGGGTCTTTAGATGGATCACTTGAAATTCTTCTCTGAACCCGAGTAACATTGACTGGACACTTTGACTTAGGCTTCATAAGTTTGCTTCCCAATGGGGCCCCCACCTAGAGTCAGGAGATCAAGCAGTGTATGTCACAGGAGAAGTGCATGGGGCAAAATATAATATCCCATTCAAGAAATACAGAACCGTTTTTGACAAACAAATAAATATAGAAAGAAAGATGTGCTACCATAATCACAAGCTACCACACAAACCTTGGAAGAAGACTCTAGTTGGTGTTCTGAACTAGCACTACCATCTTTCATGGTGGTGTGATTATTAGTAGACAGAAGTATATCTCTACATGTCAAATCCACATTTATAACTTCATCATTAAGGTTCTCTCTTACTTCATTTCCTGGTTCATCATCAATAACAGGTAAGCTTTGAGTTTGAGGTTGATTTTGATGTGCTACCTCAGTGTTAACAAGTCCAGAAACACTTTGCACAACACTGGAAACATTGAGAGCAGGTTCAAACTGGGGTTCAACATATGAAGCTCCAATGTCTTCTTTATCCAATTCCATCACTTCACTGTCTCCATCATATTCTGAACCATCAGAACTCCTGTCAAATTGTACAGATTGGCTACCCTCATTAATGTGCTCAAATTCTTCTCTGTAACCCGTATTCTCTGTGGTGTCATTTTCACTAGTTTGGTATTCGATACCAGTTTGGCACTCAGATGAACTTTGGCGCAGAAGCGCCTTTCTTTTAAAGTGAGCTTCAAAATAAGCCTTCTTCTCAGTAACTGAACCTGGTTTTGAGTATTTCTCCACCTCTTCAAGATACCTGTTGTGTGAGAAGGATGACCGCCTTTCCCATGATAAGGATTCAGCTTCAAACCTTCCAAATGAGATTGATCCAGAATGTAATGAATCTGCCTGCCCATTTTTAGGATAACCATTGTTGGAAAGACTTAGAGCACAACCAAGACACTATAGTTGAAGAACATATAAGTTCAATTTATTTATTAGTCATATTTGCATTGATGCAAAATATATGTAGAAACAACTGCAAGAACTGTCACTATGTGTGCTTTTGTCATGAGTCAACTGAGACATAGCAGTTTATCAAAATAAATAAACTGCAAGGTTTCAAAAATTCATTTAATTTAATTAAAGATGTCATGGTTTATACAAAAATAATACTAACAAAAAAATAATGCCCATGGTTAATGGTGTCCTAATCATTAGCAATTGTACCAAAAACAAGCCAAGATTTTTCATAAAAATAAATAAACTGCAAGGTGTCAAAAATTCTTCTAATTTAATTAAAGATGTCCTGGATTATACAAAAATAATACTGACAAAAAAAAATAATGCCCATCGTTAATGGTGTCCTAATCATTAGCAATTGTACTAAAAACATGCCAGGAAATATATATATATATATTCTCCACAGAAAGTTTTTCTTGGAATCAACTTCCCATCTTGGCTACTTATCAAAAAAATATAAAAATTCCAATCTTGGCTGAGCATATAGCCCTTGATAGCATAATGGAAAACATGACAATTGGCACTTTATGGGCCTATTAATTGATAAACATGGAGAGAGTGATTTTTATGCAGGTTTATGGAAGTATGCTAAAGTTCGAAGCTTCGGCCAGTATCTAACTCTAGAGAATTGAATAAACTAAAAGCTAGATGTGACCAGTTACCATTGCCACACCCGGACTATGAAAAAATAATTATTTTCCATCTCCCTTGGGGCACTTCATTGTTAAGAACACACGGAGAGGGCCATTAACACCAATTCAATGGACTCATTTACCATATGGCCTTATAAACCAATTTCATGGTATTTGCATATAGCATGGCTGGCTATTAAAAGAAGGTTGACTACTGAAAATTGGTTAATCACTAAATGTGTTCTAGCTCAAATTATTTTTTTTTCCCCAAAGGCAAGTTGAATCTCGTGATCAAGCTAGTGTTGTTTGCCGAAGGCAAGTTGAATATATGACAACAAGAGTTATTCAACTGTTATTCAGCTCACAATGGAACATGGGATTAAGTTGTTCAATGATTGAGTAGGAAGCAAAAAAGGAATTCCTTCCTAAACATATTGCTCCAAATGATAGTAAGGATATTTGTTCAAGGTTTTCTGGAAGTCAAAATATCAAAGACAAAACTACTATTCATTGACTTTTGATGTTTCCTCAAAACGTTCTGTTAGAAGTACTGGTCAGTCTGGAGTAATTATTGTTCTAATATAGATCTGCATTAGTCTGAAACTATGGGCCCACGTTAAAAAGCCGTGTATTTTGCTCCGCTTAAAATTATAAACTCCATTGTTTTAAACCAATCAAAATTTGTACTTTGTTCACATACTTTGATAATATGTGAACAAAATCGGCCTCTAGATCTGCACGTGAGGTCTTCGTTAGACATCTTTGGTATATAGATTGTTTGTAAAGGGTATTCGTTGCTTGTTTCAAAGGATATGATCTGGGACTGGATGTTTCTTTTTATTCTTTTGCATCAATAAAATTTCTTTTTTCACAGAAATAAATAAATAATAAAAATAAAAATAAAAAAGCACTCATAGCACAGAACATGATATCAAATGTAGAAATAAAATCAATGCCTCACATCCAATCCAATATCAATAAAAATTGCAGAAGTAATAGATAAAACAGATATATCAGTGTCTTAAAACATGGACATATATACATTGATCTTTTTAAGTACAGTTGATTTGAGAAAGAACATGAAATCTAACACACACACACACACACACACAAAGCGGATCATTGAGTAGAGAGTGATGATTCTGAAAATGTAGATCATTCATCATTTCCAAATCACAGTAAAGATCGTAAAAATTGCGTAAAAAAAATAAATGTAATTTAGTATACCTGAAAGCTAAAACTAAAAGGTTCTTCGATTTCACCAGCCATGAACAGACAACTCGAGAGCTTCAATCGCACATTCCTCAATTATCTGCAACAAATCAACATTCCAGACCACCCACTCAAACACACAATCAATCACCAAAAACACTTCTCCAAACAAATCCAACCACAAAAATTCTAACCAACTAGCAGCACATCATCAACAACTCCATTGTAGCCTCCATCACACAACACTGCTATAAATCATCCAGAGAGAGAGAGAGAGAGAGAGAGAGTTTCAGAGATCAGGCGCGAAGTTCAACAATGTGTGGAAAGGAATCTAAACCAAACGTGAAGTAGCGGAGACTCCAAAAATCAACAAAATCTAGCGAGAGAGAGATTGGTTTTGCAAGTCTTCTTTGCTTGGAACTTGGGAGATGAGAGAGAGAGACTGGTAGAGAGTTGTTTTGTGATCAGATGCCTAAAAAGGTGCATCGATCATCATAGTCTGTTCCCCCTTTTTGTCTTCTTCTGCTGACCCTACAATTCCCTCTTGTTTTTCGTCCACATCAGCCGTTGGATCATAGTCCTTGGAATGGATCAGACGGCTCAGGATTTTAAGTGGTCTTTGGGGACAAACAGTGGATTTAGAGGTTCGATCACGTGTGGGCTCGCCTTTGCTTTAAAACGACTGCGTGCAATGAACATATGGAAAAAAAAAGGCAAAATGAAGTTTGTTTATTTGTTTTTTTTTTTTTTTTTTTTTTGGGGAAATGAACATCTATCAAAAAAGAGATCTGTGAAATTCATGTTAAAGGCCCACTAATCATAAAAAAAAGTGGGCCCAAATTATTGGCAACTTCTTTGTTCATTGGTGGAACAGGGTGGTGTGATGATGGGCCAAAAATAGTTTGGTTGCTCTGTTCTTGGGAATCACATAGTAGATTAAACTTTAGGAAATTCCTTGTGCATTTTTTTTATTTGTTACCGTTAAATGTTACGTAATTTATTAATAAAATTATAGTAATTTATAATTCAAAAATAAATTTATTAATCAAACAAGGTAAGCTAATGCATAATAAATAATACAAAAACAAAGTTAGTAATTGACGAATTTTTAATATTAAGAGGAGTTGAGAATCATAATTTCAAGTATGAAAAAAATAAATAAATGCATAATAAATAATTATCTCACTAATTTAATTAAATAACTAATTTTACACTAATTTATAAAACTATTTGTTCATTCACTATTAATCATATTAATCAAACAAAGTCATATAATAAACACATTGCTGGGAGTGTCTATTGTGCGGGGTTGCACAGCAACTACTATTGTGCAGTAAAATGAGGCCCATTTCGATAATCCGAATTATTTATATTTTAAAATATATCAAGTAGAACATACCTGAAAAAAATCAAATTAATCGAACATTGTTTACCCATTTATCCACTCATATTTGTATCTACAAAAATAAATAACAATTGTGATTTAAAGTATTAAAAAAAATGTGAGTGGATAAAAGAGTAAACGATATCCGATTAAGTTAATTTTTTACAGATATGTTTTATTTGATGTATTCTAAAATGTGAATGGTTCATATCAAATTGACATATATCTATTTACCACTCAAATCTTCAAAAAAAAAGAAAAAAAATTAACATACCAAATTTTAAAAATTTGAATGAAAATGCTCTAAGTGTACATGGGACTAACCCCTCCCCTTTCCCTTTATCATTTCAATGGATAATTATTTAGTAATCTTGGAGTATGGATACGTGGTATTTTATAGTATTATGATTGATGAAGAAGATGGGTAAGTGAGACATTGTATTAGATAATTGGGGAACATGAGTGGACATATTGAATGATGATTGGTTAGAGAGTACAGACACGTGGTACTCCAGAAATATTTAATAATTTCCCCATTTCAATTGCCTTTTCTTCATTTCTTCCTTCCTCTCTCTATGCCTCTCGATTCTCTCTCTCCTTTATTTTTTTTTCTTTTACATTTATCACATAAAATCTTTTGATCTTACACCATCGGAGTTAAATTTCAACCTAGTTCTTAAGGCCAAAGTGTAGAGTATGGTGAGAATTGCGTTTTGACTTGTGAAGATCGAAATTCGGCGAAGTCGAAAAATTGGATCTTTCCATTTTCCCTGGATTTATTTGATGATGTGTATGTTATTTAGTATTATTATGTGTTATTTTGGTAGTTTAACAAGTTTGAAAGATTAGCGTTTTAATTGTATGTGTATTAGTGCATAAAACAAGGAGAAACTCTTAAATCTCTATTATTATTATTTTTAAATTGGTTCTCTTATGAGTAAGTTAAAATGATAAATTGTGAAAGAGAGAACTCCTAATTTTTCAAAACCCTAGAAAGTGAAAATTATTGAAATTGGCTTGAAATTAATAAAATTAGTGGAGTTCATTGATGAACTAGTATATTGGGCATGTGTATTGGAAATGGTGTAAGTTTTGGAAAAAAAATCTATTGATTTGGAAGGTTGAGAATTTGTTGGATTATGCTTTTTATTGTGTATATGTATTGTTCATTTTGAAAATATATATCTATTGGTTAGAGATAATTATTTTGATAATTGGTGAAGGACTGTATTGATTGTTGTAGAATTTGCATGTGAACTAAGTAACTTGAAACATTTACAAATTCGTGCATGGCATAAATCATTTCATGCTTTTATGATTTCATTCTCGTATTGTATTCTCCTCCCAAATGGAGATGAATTTGAAGGGTGAGTTGGAGGAGACCATCCTTCATATTTGAAGATATGAAGGATGGGTTGGAGATGCTCTTATGCATTTTTTTTATTTGTTACTGTTAAATATTACGTAATTTTTTAATAAAATCATAGTAATTTATAATTCAAAAATAAATTTATTAATCAAACAAGGTAAGCTAATGCATAATAAATAATACAAAAACAAGGTTAGTAAATGATTAAATTGACGAATTTTTAATATTAAAAGGAGTTGAGACTCATAATTTCAAGTATGAAAAAATAAATAAATGCATAATAAATAATTATTTCACTAATTTAATTAAATAACTAATTTTACACTAATTTATAAAACTATTTGTTCATTCACTATTAATCATATTAATCAAACAAAGTCATATAATAAACACATTGCTGGGAGTGTCTATTGTGCGGGGTTGCACAGCAACTACTATTGTGCAGTAAAATGAGGCCCATTTCGATAATCCGAATTATTTATATTTTAAAATATATCAAGTAGAACATACCTGAAAAAAATCAAATTAATCGAACATTGTTTACCCATTTATCCACTCATATTTGTATCTACAAAAATAAATAACAATTGTGATTTAAAGTATTAAAAAAAATGTGAGTGGATAAAAGAGTAAACGATATCCGATTAAGTTAATTTTTTACAGATATGTTTTATTTGATGTATTCTAAAATGTGAATAGTTCGAATTATCAAAATAAATCTTAAAATGAACTCATTTAACTGCACAACAATAATTGTTGTGCATCTTGCACCGCAATCACCCTAAATTCTCACGGGTTGTGTATATGGAAGGGGAACTTTGTTATGTCCCACAAAGGTTAGATAATGTTTTAGAATATTAAATATTTTCTTATGAGGATGTGAAAAATTTTCTATGTTTAAGAGTAATTATTATATAGTTTCAGAATATGACATTATTATATGATATTTTAAATTAATAACTTAACATAAAATTTTGCAAATGGTACATGCTGATTCATTTTTATTTGATAGTTAAAGAGAGAGAGAGTGATTCATTTTTATTTGGTAGTTAAGAGAGAGAGAGAGAAACTCACTTGGAGCATGTTTGGTATGATAAAATGAATTGGAATAAAATGTCCATTCTAATTTTGTATTCATTTTCTTTTGTTTGGCACGCCTTATCTAAGTAAGAATAAACATTTCATTAGAATGATTATTCTAACAAAAATGTGAGAATGACCATTCATTCCCCTACTTAAGGAATAGACATTACATTCCATCATGGAATCACCATAATTTTTTTTTTTTGGGGTACATAAAAATAAAAAATATTATCATTTAGCTACCACTGTCATTCCCTTATACTACCATCCATTCCACCACCCTACCACCGTCGCCACCACCATTGCCCTATTGCCACTACAACCACCACTACAACTATCATCACCACCGTCACTATAACAAGTTGAATAAAATTTGATTTATATATATATTTTTTAATTAATTTGAAAATTTTCTTAGCATGCTTGCGGGTTCGCGTATTATTTAAAGATGGATTGATACAAATTCCTACATTATTACGTTGTCATTATAGTTGTGTTGTGGTAAACCATTCTATTTAAATTTTTGAAAACAAATTAAACTACTTTTTTATACTCCAATCTCAATTGGTGAATCATTTTAGATTATTAAGCTTCATTTATTTTGAATCTAATTAACTTAATCATAACTCATTTGTAACCACCTATTATTATTGTTAATGTTATTATCGTTATTATTTATTTTGTTATAATGAGAGAGAATTATGAATTTTTGTGATGTGTTCCGTTAAATAAAATATATATTTATTGGTAAGAAAAATTATATCATTTTATCATTTATGTTACAAATATTATAGTAGTATTAAAATATATTTTTATATAATAATAATTTTGAGAAGAGAAGCCATGTGGGGCCACCGCCCTTCCCCTACCATTCATTTCTTTCTTCCTTTCTTTTGAAACAAGAGACGCCCCTCTCTCTCTCTGCACTGTCTCTACTCTCCTTCAGCTCTCTCTCTCTCTCTACTCCCTTATTTCTCTCATCTCTCTCTAAACACTATCATAAATTCTTTTTCTTTTTTTCTTTTTTTTTTCTTGATCTAGTAAAATCTATATGTTTTTGGCCATAGTTCTTAAAATTAAATTGATGAGCATCTTGAGAAGAGTATTTTGTCTAGTGGAGATTGAAATTCAACAATATCAAATTTTGAGATTTTCATTCATTTTCTCTCCTAAGCTTTGAGTTTTTTTTGTAATAACTTGAAAATGCTCATTAAAATTTGAAAAAAAAAAAAAGAAAAGAAAAAAATCAACATACCAAATTTTAAAAATTTGAATGAAAATGCTCTAAGTGTACATGGGACTAACCCCTCCCCTTTGCCTTTATCATTTCAATGGATAATTATTTAGTAATCTTGGAGTATGGATACGTGGTATTTTATAGTATTATGATTGATGAAGAAGATGGGTAAGTGAGACATTGTATTAGATAATTGGGGAACATGAGTGGACATATTGAATGATGATTGGTTAGAGAGTACAGACACGTGGTACTCCAGAAATATTTAATAATTTCCCCATTTCAATTGCCTTTTCCTTTGGTAGAAACCCCTCTCTCTGCTTTGTCCTCTTCATTTCTTTCTTCCTCTCTCTATGCCTCTCGGTTCTCTCTCTCCTTTATTTTTTTTTTCCTTTTACATTTATCACATAAA